CAAGTTTTCAATATTAAACTGTGTTAAATATGCTGAGATTGATCATAACCTCCAAAATATTATTTCGGCATACAAAATTGTCTGTTTTAACAGCTGTTTGATTGATTCTCTACTCTAAAATAGAAAATTTCAGCTTATTGTCGATTAATAACAGTTTAATAAATGTGTTACTTTTAAAAGCTTGATATCTGAAGGTGATTTTTAGGTTATGTTCCAAAGTGCATCCAAAAGTGTGATTGGAAATTGAATCACAGCAAAAATGTCCACTAAAAACTTCAAATATTTTTGAAATACAGTTTCTCTGTATATTTTGAGAGTAAAAAAGTAAAAATTGCGTCTATTTTTGGCCAAATACTCCTAAATTTGAGGTTATTATAATTTACACTTTTAAAAACATCTATAAAGCTCAGAAAAAGGTGAAGAAAATGAGGAAAACGCATGTTTTAGGCGCTGCTGAAGTTCTGGAAGCGCCAGAAAGTGATGTACAGATTCTAGCCGTATTTTCTCCCCCTTGACTTTTAGCGGGGAACAAGGGAAAAGTTTGTGACTTGCAGCTTTTATATGCTTATTTATACTTCATGAACTATGAACGTTTGATCAATTGATACGACAAGTCAGGTGTCGATTTTTTGATTATATAATGTGCCACTGTGTTATTTATGGTAAACCATAATTGTTCTGCATTTCTCATATTTAATGCACATTTTCAAAATACCAAAATAATTTATTTTTAATTACAATTTCAGGGATTCACAAATAGAATTCAATTGCCTTGATAATAACAGTCAAATTCCATCATATTGTAATATTTTTATATATAAATTTTGCAATCTAGCAATTCAATCAGTTATAGAAATTGCTTTTTCAATTATTTAATATAGTTTTAGTGATTTCAAAAATATCTTCGAATTGATTTTAATTGATTGCCATGGGCAGATATCGGCACTGTCTTTCAGTTGTGGGAAAGGACTTATTTGTCAAATGGATTCTTCTCTCTCAAGAGAGATGGATTGGTACACATAAAAGGGACTATTAACTATTTATATACCATAATATCCTTTTGCTTCTACGCCAACATCTCGCCTACAGTGGATAAATAAACTTCCCCAATCGATAGTTATTTTATTTTTGACATGTCACTCTTGAAGCCAGTGTCTCAGTCATAATTTATTCATCGAGATCGTGTTAGTGTTTAATTTCATGAAACCGGACAACTGCACTCCTTCATATGTGACATGTAAAATGAAACATACTGACTTGTAATTATAGTTTTACACACCATCGTATGTCGATATTTGTACAAGACAAACTGCCGCAAATCAAGTTGCGACAGCAAATTCGGGAGTTTCCCAAGCAATTTCTCTCTCATATTAGTGACACCATTTTTTACCAGGACTATTGATAGTGTATCTGGATTTTCGCTGATGTCCAGAGTGCACTTTGTCAAGTGATGGTATTATTAAAAAGCCGGGGAAAAAGCTGCAGCGAAGCGCTCATAACCGCGCGCATCTGAATAATTAAATAAGTAAACAAACTGAGCGAAAATTGAAACTAACGAAAAACTCAATTAAAATAATCACGTTAAATGTTATTGCGCCAGTAGAGAAATGCCGACGTTCAGCTGAGATTGTGTGCAGAGGATGAGGTATCCGGCAGTCATCCATTACTCAACTTTCAATTAAGATAATCTCAAATGGTATGAAATGCTCTCTAGACGCGCTTCGGCCGCGCCATCGGAGATGTGGGCAAAAAAAAATGCCTCTCATAGAGAGCGGATGGTGAAATTGTGTTGAGAATTGCAAACTCTTCCATGTTTGCTATATATACATTGTTTTGATGAAGATATGAAACTTATGTGTTTCGCATTTCCAGCATGATATGCATATGCAATTTAGCCACAATTATGAAGTGTTGAATAAATGAAAATATTAACTCAAGTGCCAAGACAATTTGATAACTTAATTCACGAGGTCATCCCTTCGCATGCCCTCAATTCACCATGTCATTATTTATGTATAATATCCACATATCCATTCTGGGTGTTATCCTCAAATATTTATCACACAAAAGTCTCACTGACACTGAAATGACAACATTTTTCATTCTTCTATGTATGAAAATATTGCAAACATTGCATTTTCATACCAGAAAAATATATATTTTATGTACATGAAAATGTATTAAAGATGGGAATGAGTTTATGCTGGACAAAGAATCTTCTGATGGAACACAGTCGAAAAGGACTATTTGATGGATTGCACTGATTCATGCTCTGACACTTTCTGCAGTGAAGAATATGCTTTCTATTTTTGTGACGGATTCAGCATACAAACAGTAGCGAAAATTAAGTTAAGACATCTATATGAAAGTTAGGCAAATTTTCCTTTTGGTGCTAAAAATTCGATATTACTTTTAATTTTTGAGACAATTAACTTAAGATAAGAAACAATTAGAATTTTATGGTATTTCAAATGGCGTTGAGATCATGGCGATATCTCAATTTGGGGCTGAGATATTGCAAAATGCAAAGAAATGTGCATAAAAGACAGTTAAAATTAAGTTAAGACACTGCTTATTTTGCTCTAAATCCACATTATAACCATAAAACTGGCTCAGTAGTGGTCTAGAAGACATTTACATCATGGAGCGTCTTGATCTGGACTTGTCAAATTGCTTTTTGTATGTTTCTGTCTATCGATTAACGCTTTTGCACAATTTCTTCATTTCTTACGCACAACCACGACTCAAATCCTGTTCACAGATTTTCTATGAAGTTAATCGTTCAATAATAATCATGTAGTCGTGAAAATTACAGCATTTTGCTCTTTAGAAAACGTGACTTTTAGTCAATTTCATATTAAATTGTCCAGAAAATCAGTAATTTATTATAAATGCATGACAGAAAAATGGTTCTAATGGCGTTTACATACTCTCTAATATTTAAATCATTTCAAAATGTGGTATATTATGTGAAATATTAAATTTTTACAGAAGCACAAAAAGTAATAATGGCCTAAATTTCATAGCCGTCTTAACTTAATTTTCGCTACTGTACATCTTCATATTTGATTGCAAAGTGCTGAAAATTTTCACCTAAACAAGTGACTGGAAAAAAAGGTTCTTAATTTCTCTGGTTTGCTGTCAATTTCCCGCGATATGAATAATTCTTAAAGCTCTGCGATTCTTTAATGGAGGAAATATGTAATTTTGATAGAACTTAATTAAATTTGGAGCTCAATTTTTTGACAAATGGCAGTGCAAATGCGCGGGACAGAAGCGAGAGATGGCGAATGTACGTGCATCCGACACATATATAAACGCGATAGTAAACATATGGTCATTAGTGAGGGATGGAAGTGGTATCCACAGTGGGGACAAATGATGGAACTTGCGGGTGATGGATGGATATTCACGAATTCATGTTTTTGCGGCTGAGTTTGCGGTATATGATATGCTCATGAATATTGTATTATCCCTCACATAATACCATTTTCCAACATCATTAACTAATATTATATTAGCGTTCCACTTTAATTGGCATTTCGTGTGAATAAATTCATTTCGCGAATTTATGCACTTCAGCAGGGAGTTTTTTGGGAAAAAAATCCATCCATTGCACACATCAACGCTGACTGAAGTTGACCAAGGCGTGTTGGGGTGGATATTTCAATTGGAATTTCATTGCAAAGCCACTGAAGAAATACTTGCAGAATGTGGAAAATGACAAAAGGTCATTCAATGCCTAAAAAGGGCGAAATCACATGTCTATAAATTCCATTATGGATGGCTGGTGCTGAGGCACTGGCAAAGAAAGTCTCTCTCCGTGGTAAAGCATACACAATATATTCTCAACTGCAAAAACTGTGAGACAATCGTAACGACTTCAAGGAGCTGCATATGAATTCTGCTGGAACACTTATTGAAAGACTTATTGATGTATGAAACATAATATGGATCAGAAGATAGCACATGGTGTGCCCATTTTTCTCAATTTTACACTCTTTCTCAAACATCTTTCTTCCCTCTCCTCAGCTAAGGAGGCCAGGCGGCGGCAGGGGTGGATAAAAGGGGTGAAGCTTCATTCACCATCATTCTATAATATAGCATTCGTAAAATGTGCCACTTTTGCCAAAGCGAAGCAAATTTTTTATGAATAAAAAATCCTGTGAAAGATTTATTCCATGGCTCTCTTTGCCATGTAACGATTTCTGACCATCACACCTGGCCCTTAAGTCAAGTAATATCGGAGGAAAATGTGGATTCCCGTCCAATTTCGCATGTCTGATTTCCACCATCACCGCCAGAGTCATCGAATGTTTTTACCTTTTGCATTTTCTCCCGTGTGTGCTTACTCAGGGTTTCCCACCCTCAACTCTTCCGAATTGCTCTCAAAGTCTCAATTTATGCTTCTGAGGGAATATCTTCTTCCATCGCACACGAGTGCAAAAAACTGACCACGTCATGTGGAAATCATTTCAGGCCACATTGGAAAAAACGCATTAAAACCCAGCATTTTGTCGCAGCACAATTTACACGTTTTGTTAGTTAAATTCTGTGTATATTTTTCCGTGTGTCCAAAAAATACTGCGTAAGCAACTAATTACACCAGCAATTTCATAATTATCTCTTGTCAAGTCAACAAGTGTGCAAAAGTCAGTCAATGATGATAAAAACTATCTTTAAGTGGGCTCAGCAATTAACTTAATCATCTATCGCGTATTGTCAAGTGCAACAAACGCGAGACTTCCATTAAAAACCCACCGTGAGGATTCCTAAAACAAATCCACAAACCCCATCATGAGTGAATTATTTCATTATTTTGAGTGCTGGATTTATTTGTAAATGATTTCGTGCTGAAAATTTGCCTCGTTAATCGTATCTTATCACAGGTACTTGAGAAACAAATTCAGTTCTATCTAGTGACAACTATACAGCTCACTGATAAGTATTAGTATCGTGGCTTCGATACACAGACACGACGGATTTCCAGTTTGCACTTGGCCAGCTGAAGAGTGTGAAAAGTGTTCAGTGATCGCGAGAGAGTTGATACGCAAGCACACCAATGGCGGAGACAATTATTGTGCAGACCACTCTGGGTCCGGTGAAGGGTGTGAAGAAGACAACAGCCCTCGCGAGTGACTACTTCAGCTTCCAATCCATTCCTTACGCCAAACCTCCGATCGGCGAGCTGAGATTCCGCGTGAGATTTCCGTCTGTCTCTCCTGAGAAGTGCTTGTGAATCGCTAAAGACATGATTTTCTCACAGGATCCTCAACCGGCTGAGCCGTGGACTGACGTCCTGGACTCCACTCAGCAAGGACCGTGCTGTCCGGCGAAGAACAACCTCCTAAACGTGATCGAAGGCGAAGAAGATTGTCTGCATATCAATGTTTTCACGAAAAGTGTGAGTGAATATTATATAATTCATGTATTTTTGCTAAGTACACACTCAAAAGCATTATCACGACAGTGACGTTATATTCCAGCGATTAGTTAGTTTTTTTTTATGTGTTCAGTGGAAAGAGTAGGAAATCATATGCTGAGAATTCGCTTCAGCGACCTGCTGTCTGTTTCGATTATTTCAAGTTCAAACTGAATAGTGTGAGTCGCATTCAATGCTAATAAGTTACCTCAAGACGCTTGACGAGTTTCACTATAGTGATAGCTTTTCATTTACTTCACACAAATTCACGTTTTACACTCTTCTTCACACTTTCTCAAGAACTCGCTATTCTATTTCATTCAATCTTCCTCCGTGCATAGTTGAACCCCAATAAGTTGGTTCCGGTGATGATTTACATTCACGGCGGAGCCTTCATGAGGGGCTCAAGTGGCGTGGAAATGTATGGTCCTGACTTTCTCCTGCAAAAAGACGTTATTCTGTTCACATTCAACTATCGCTTGGGCGCTTTTGGCTTCCTCAGCGTCGACGATCAATCTGTCGACATTCCGGGCAATGCGGGACTCAAGGATCAGTCAATGGCGATCAGGTGGTGCAAGGAAAACGCCGCCTATTTCGGCGGGGATCCGAACAATGTGACACTCTTTGGCGAGAGCGCCGGAGGATGCTCAGTTCACTATCACATGATTTCTGAGCAGTCGCGCGGACTCTTCCACAAGGCCATCGTGAAGTCCGGCGCGGCTCTGAATTGCTGGTCAGTTGTGCCCGAAAGGAACTGGGCGAAGCGCTTGGCCGTCTCTCTGGGCTGGTCTGGCAAGGGAAGCACCAAGGACATGATAGATTTCCTGAGGAAAGCAGAGCCAAAGAGCATCGTTAAGGCTCAAGAGAGTCTAGTGACATCTGAAGTGAGTCCAATCTTTGGCTAAAACGCTAAATATACAGCGTTTTAAGGTGTTTTCTTAATTGCAGGAGCGCAAGTTCCGAATCCTCTTTCCCTTCGGGCCTGTTATTGAGCCCTACATCACGAGCAGGACTCTAATTCCTCGCGATCCTCTTGAAATGTGTCGCAATGCCTGGAGTCACTCAATTCCAATCATTATCGGCGGCACGTCAGACGAAGGACTGTTCAGCTACCGCGAAGCCATCGAGTTTCCCAACATTGTTAACCATCTATCGTGCGACTATCTCGTGCCTCTGGACCTTGATTTGGACGTGAAGAGCGACAGATGTCAAATGCTGGGAAATCAGATCAAGAAGTTCTATTTTGGCGATCAGCAACCGTCAATGGAGACTCTCAATGAGTACATAATGGTTTGTATTTCGGCTCACAAGAGCTGCGAAAGAAATAATTCTCTGAATTTAACCATTTGCAGCTGATGACGGATAAATTATTCTGGCACGGAGTTCACAGGACTATCTTATCTCGCCTGAATGCTCCCAATGCTGGACCGACTTTCCTGTATCGCTTCAACTTCGATTCCCCAACTTTCAATCACTATCGCGTGATGATGTGCGGGAAAACAGTTCGCGGAGTTTGTCATGCTGATGACTTGTCTTACATCTTCAAGAACACAATCGCTCAAGAGGTTCCAGACGCTGCGAGTGCTGAATTCAAAACAATACAGCGAATGGTTGGTGTCCGAAATGTGTGGAGAAATCAAGAACATTCTAACTTCTCATCACTTTCCACAGGTTAATCTTTGGGTGAGCTTCGCGGCCAATAGTGATCCGAATTGTCACATTTTGAAGCCCATCGTGTGGCGGCCACTTGCTCAAAAAACCGCCCCTTTTGAGTGCCTCAACATTTCCGATGAGCTGACGGTGATTAAACTCCCCGAGACGGAGAGAATGAAGCTCTGGGATTCTCTGTATTCGCAAGATCAGCTGTATTAAGGAATGTTATGAGTGAATACAAATAACCAAGAGGAAGACATTAAAGCCGGAAGTGGTGTACAGCTTTGAGGAAGTGTTTGGAGATTGGAATTTGCACTGCAAAAGCTTCCATTTCAACAAATTGAGACATTTTTAGAATTATTTTGCTTAGAAAATGCAGATTTTATTGCTTTTTCTAGGTTATGTGATAGATTTAAAACAGATTCTGTCTGAAATTGTGCTTAAGTTGGGATTATTTTTCTTGTTCTCGACAGAATTTGGTATTTTTTATCGAGAAAACTTGATTTTGATTGAGAAAAGGCTTAAAAGTCATTCATAACCTCAAAAAAATCTAATTGTAATCTAGTTATTTTCACGTTTTTTGCTTTAAAATGACAAATTCAACCTCATTTTCTAGTAGAAACACTCAGAGATTCACTATATTTACTCATTTCCAGGTTTGAAAAGATCTAAATTAGTCTAAGAAGGACTTTTTAGGTCGAATTCATAACCTCACAATTTGATCAGAAGTTTTCAAAGCATTTTCAGTCAGAATTCAGACTGAGGAACAGTTGAAGGAGTCTGAAAAGCAATGAAAATGTCTTTAAAGACGTTCAGAAGTGTCTGGAAGTATTGTACATATTTGAGACACATTATCTCCCCCTTGCAAATAACACAAGTTCATATGCAGAGTTTCGATTCAACGGAGAAAATCAGATGACGTCTTTTGCCTTTATTGTCTAATTAAACTTTGCTGAATCTCTTTCAGATTTAATTAGACTGGCGCAAAAATGGAATAATTGAATAAGCACTCTTGGGGAGCAAAGAAGAAGGTGTCAGTTTCGCCAAACAGATTCACAACACTCCTTTATGATGAGCAAACCGAGCAGGGCGGATGGTTTGCTAATCTCAATTCTCACCTCTGCGTCTTTTCCAGCAATCGGCCCCCTATAAATATTTAACTTTCTTATGTGTACTCGCTCTCTCTCTTCCTTCCTCCCTCTCACGCCCACCCCTAAACAGTCAGCAAACATTTGCATAGCTGCCTTTTATTCCAAATATCACTTCTGGGGTAATTTCCAAATGTTATTCAGCGAAGCAAATTAACTGGCCATGGTTGCGAATAAAACTTTAATTAATTCTTTTGTTCACACATTACATACATTTACTTCCCAACTAACTGAATATATATGTTTGGTATTGTGCAGAGAATAACATCGAAATTGGGTGATTTTAAATTATTTTATTGTTTCATGGACAGGACAGGCGGTGAGTGTTCATTTTAATTACAATTCCTGGACGGCTTCATTTTCCTCCGCCCACAAAAAAAACCAAAAAACCAACCAAAAAAAAAACTGTCACATGCATTTCACTGAATCACGAATTTCTCAAAAGCCCGAAGGAATTGTCTCGCAATTAGGTAGAAAATCAATGACCAGAATGACGTCTTTGCAAATCTGTGCAGGATATAGAGTCGCTTGTAGTGCAATTGTGTATTCTGCAGGTTTTTGGCGTCCTCTTTGAAGTGATATTTCTTAATTCCGGGAATATAGTGGCGAAAGTACTCGTTCCAGTTGATTTTCTCCATTTCAAAGTCCAAACTGTAGAGCTGGCGATTTCGATGGGAAATCAACCCATTCAACTGGCGAATATTGTCATTGGCGAATTTCCAGTCACGTAGACCAAAATATGACATCATCTCCAGGATTGTGCCGATCTTTCTGTGTGCTTTGATAAATCTGTGGGAGAAGTTGCACATTTTGTCACTGAATGGCCAAAGAAAATCTCTCTCTCTCTCTCTCTGGCTTTGTGTCATTTTATAGCCACAGAATGGACATGACGCTGAATTTCTAATGACAAACTCTCACCTTCTTTGCTTCCCAGCAATTGTCGAAAGCAGATCCAGAATATACGCAGGAATTGTGTGGAGGAAAAATGCACCAACTCTGTACAATGGCCTCCACTTAACAATGTAGTACGCATAGTACCTAAATTATAATGTAATGGTGAAAACACAGCATTTGTAATTTGTAATTTGTCCGCGATCATCTCTTTCTTCCCCTCGCGTTTCGTGTATTTTCCTTCCTACTCGCACAGTGGCTGTCTCGACATGTCAGAGTCAGACGCTGACAAAGTAGGAAGGAAAATACACGAAACGCGAGGGGAAGAAAGAGATGATCGCGGACAAATTACAAATTACAAATGCTGTGTTTTCACCATAAAAAGTCAAATTACAAGAAACAATGTGTTCCACAAAGGAGAAAATGTCCCTTTTTACACACATTCATTCAATCTTTTTGGCACTTTATCCGTGCATTTGTGAGAAAAGCTGGAGAAACATTCAAGTGCAGCTCGGTCAATAGTTAGCAGATAGTGACTGAGACAGAATCTGGGGTGAAACTCAGTGTGTGTGTGTGAAATTGTGCTGAGATTTTGCATATTTATCGTACCAGAGAGCCTTATCTAACGGCTCGTGTAATCCTTCGAACGCCAAATGCATATATCGCTCCCATGTTAAGTTATTCTCCTCGTAGATGTAGTTGTAAACGGGTAATTCGATTTGCTGCTCAATCCTCTTCTGATACCTGTGCAAGAGATCAATTAGACGAGATATAAGAAATATTCTCCTTTTTTCGCAATTGCATTTCGAGGGGTGAATCGAAAACTATGGAAAGGCCAAAATAGCTATTTTTCTAGGGTTGCAGTAAATTGGTCAGTAAAATATCAATTTGGTCAGTAAGAAAATTAGTTTGGTCAGTGGAAAATCAGTTTCGTCGGTAAAATATCAATTCGGTCAGTAAAAATACAAAACGGTCAGTACAAAAATAGTTTGGTCAGTAAAAAAATGCAGTTTGGCCAGAAAAATATCAATTTGGTCAGAAAAATATCAATTTGGTCAGTAAAAAATCAATTCGGTCAGTAAAAAATCAATTCGGTCAATAAAAAAATCAATTTGGTCAGTGAAAAATCAATTTCGTCAGTAATATATACAAGTTTATTTCATTTTTAGTATGTACAGTGTTTTATCGCTTAATTTTACTATTTACAATATTCCCAAATTCTATTTGTTTCTATTGTTTTGTAATTTCGTCAGTAAAAAATCAATTTTTTCAGTAAAAAAAATCAATTTTGTCAGTAAAAAAAATCAATTTGGTCAGTAAATTATAAATTTGGTCAGTAAAAATGCAAAACGGCTAGTAAAAAAATTGTTTGGTCAGTTAAATAAATCAGTTTGTCAGAAAAATATCAGTTTGATCAGTAAAAATTGCCATAAAACAGTATTTTTACAGTTCGGCCAGTAAAAAATAAATTTGATCAGTAAAAAATCAATTTTGTCAGTAAAAAAATCAATTTGGCCAGTAAAAAATCAATTTGGTCAGTAAAAATTCAGAAAAGCCAGTAAAAAAATTTGTTTGGTCAGTTAAAAAAATCAGTTTGTCAGAAAAATATCAGTTTGATCAGTAAAAATTGCCATAAAAAAGTATTTTTACTGTTCGGTCAGTAAAAAATCAGTTTAGTCAGTCAAAGAAATAGCTTGATCAGTAAAACAGTGTCAATAAAATAACAGTTCAGTGAGAATATTTGTTTGATCAGTAAAAAAAAAATTTTGTGGTCCGTAAAATATTGACTTTGGCCAGTAATTAACGTAAACCAAGACGTAAACTATGAAAAATTGCCTTTTCATTGCTCTTCATAGTTATCGATTCATCAGTCGATTTAAAACTGTATTGTTTCTTCTCCATATTGCGCTTGAATTCTTTGTGTAAAATGCAAAATGCTACAAATTTAAACACACATAAATTGCGGTTTCGCAAAAAAGCTCTTCTGCACGTGGGTTAATCTTCACTTTAATGTGATAAATTTGGGAGTAAAAGGTCGGGCAGAATCCAATTTACTTAATTCAGAATATTCTATATGCTCACCGCCTGTGCGTATCCCAAGCAGCAGTTACCATGGCGTTGATGCAATAATCTGCAGGCATAATGTTGGCTTTCTGTAATTTATCTCCGTAAATACAGTGAATGAATCCTCTCACGCTGCCCACAATAATCACGCCTGGCCCATTGAGATTGTCCATCCAGCCGGGAATCGGATCCTTGTAGATCGAAACGACTGTTTTGGGGACAATTTAATTATCTCGTGTATTAAACTCTTTACGCACATCCTCAGTCAATCCTGTATTTCTATGAAAATTGTAATACTATTTCGCCCCCAGGATGTGTGTGTGCTCCTCGGGAATGGGGTGGTAAGTGTGTATCATGCCCGGAATGAAGTGTAAGAAATAGAGGAATGTGCCTTCTTGCAATTTTAATAGAGAAACGCAATCCATCATGTGCTGGCAAATAAATGGTTTATGTATGAAAGTACGCAACGTTGAGATAATCCATTACGAGTGTAAATAATTTATAAATTTATATTTCTGTACGTGCTACACAACTGATGCCGTCTGGGGTTTCGCATTTCTTTACTTGACCCCCACATTTTTTTTTGCGCCTCCTTGCCACCCCTCTGCGCAACCCCCAAAATTAAACACTGCTCGCGTTCTACACTGAAATTGATTGGAAATGATTCCAGAGAGCATTAATTGGCGAGTGAATTGTTAAATGTGACACAGGAAATTATATATATATGGATATTATTTATAATTCTTTTTTTTTTCACCGAATGAGTTTTTATTGGAATTTCTACAATTATGCTTAATTAATTGTGTTTGAATTTTCAATAAAAAACACAAATATTATGTTTTATAACCATTGTTCCATACTTAAAAAGTGGGGTTTTTCCTATGAATAGGATACATTTATAAATATGTATGCAGCTCTGGTGGTTTTCACTACAATTTTATTCATAATCCATTTATCAAAAGTGATTAAATGCATTTTACAAATGCTCTTTTCCACTCGGCAAGTGTAAAAATCAACGGAATGAATCTGAAATCCTAAATTTTGCGTCTAGTTTTGAAAGCTCTGAATGTCAAAGCATGCATTTGAGCAGTATAATTAATGAAACGTGTATAGAGTTGATTTTTTTTTTCAATGTGCACATTGCATGTTGTGAACAATACATATTAATTAAAGTGATAGCATCTAAACTATAGAGAGCGCCAATATAAAATGTCCGCTCGCAAATGGCTTTCCGAATGGGAAGGAATCAATAGCGGCTAAAAGAGGTGTTTGCTCACCAATTGGCGGCCGGAAGATGCCCGCCGGCATCCCGAAAGCCATGTGATTCACCAGATTCTCAGCCCATCGCTTCGTCACGGTGTAGGTGTTTGGCATCTCTCCAATGAGGCAGTGCTGGATGTTTTCGAAGGTGTCGTTATCAGCGATTCGGTTTATTTGTATCACTTGTTCGTACGTGATTTGGGGGCTGTAGCAGCGCTCGCCGACGCTCCTCCGGTGGCAGTTGGAGTAGAGCGTAGAAATATGCAGGAACGACTGAGAAGTTGCATTCAATTTACCTGATAAGAATCTCTCAAGGGGGAGATAATACAGTCACAAATGGTGCAGAACGCCAAAAGTAGTACTTAAGAAGTGAAAGTGTCGAAAAACCTTCAATTTTCCCCTCCTCAGTGCCTACTTTACTACCAAATCATCCCGATTCCTTGGATTTCTTTTGAATCGCGCAAAGAAATAATCATTTTATAGGTTATGTTACGATTCACAGGCGGATTTAGTGAATTTTTCTCACTCTAGCATATCAATTCTTATGTTAAAGTCGCCAAAATTACTAGTCGTTGGCAATATCAAACCAATTCTGAACCTTTGATGCCAAAAAACACTGTAAATTTGTGTTAAAGACAAACATAACCTCAAAAGAGTATGTTTTAAACGACTTTCTGCACGATTTTGACTGTGAATCAGCAATTTAGAGTTTAGAAGCAACTCAGAAAAGATGATTTTATCATCTAGAAAGCTTCCAATTGGAGTCTCTTAAGAAATCTTAGTAATATTTTTGAGGTTATGATCGGAATAGACGTCAAAAAAGCGAATTTTGTGCAGAAATATCGCAAGAAACAGAACATTGCATGAAAACAGTCTGAAAATTTGAAGTTCTGGAAGTGTTAAGAAGCGGTGTACATATTAAGAGCATATTATCTCCCCCTTGGAACCTCCCACACTCGCCCCGAGACCAACTAAGCCTCATCCCGAGCACACTGGATGGGAATCGAACACACTGCCGGACCAAGTCACATGCAACACTTACTTTAAGACGTCGCATTTGCTGAGATAACTCAAGAACCTTCTTCGTGCCGAGCACATTAATTCCAAGGGCGTCTCTCAATTTTTCGTTGAACTTCACCGACGCCACAATATTGAAGACAATCTGGAGTGGATAAATTACTCAAGTCAACTAAGCAATGAAAGCATAAATTTCCCTTGTACTCACTTCCACATCATTGAATAAAGTCAATTTGTCTTCCTCCGAAATATCCAGATCAAATGCTTCATAATCGGTTGCGATGGGTACAACTTTCTCCCTGAATCCCGGATTCTCCACACGAAGTTTTGCGAAGAGCTAATATGGTTTTCCAATGCAGTGGAAATAGAAGGAAATTGTTTGCTCTGAATTATTCCATATATATTCCACACCAACATTGCCATCTCAGTGTAGGTGGAAATCTTTCGCCCCACGAGCATCTCTTCAATCATTTCATGCATCATTTCAGCTAATTATGTGGTATGTGTGAATCACTAAATTGTCTATGCCAATGGATCAATGATAAATTGACACACAAACACACATTATCTGTAAAATTATGCTGTGGATGCAAAATTGATTTAGCATCGTTGTCGTTTCATTTAGCAGCCGAAATATGATTAACGCAAATGTAAATTTCATGGCGCGATGGAAAGACAGGAAAATGCAATATGATAGTCGCGGGATGGAAATACTCTCTTTCGCTCTAAAAATGACTATGCAAATAAATAATTCATCATTTGCCCAGCATTTCAGATACATCAACACCAATGTCGCTTCGATATTTCAGATCCTTTTTTAAAACACACACACTGAAAATAGATTTCATATAGGTGGGAAACTGGGAATGTAATTGAATAGCCAGAAAATTGGTCATTGAGCGAAAACACTATTGGAGAGTTTGTTCATAAAAGTACTGGGCGATGTTTTAAGTCTAATAAAATTTCAATACTCAAGTTGCCCAGTGCATTTCGATCCGTTAAAAAATTCAATTGGCGAAACACTTCACTGAGAGAAAAGTGTACACGCGAACTCCCAATTGCACACTTTGTGCAGACAGATTCAAGTGGATCCGAGGGAGAAGACATTCCTCGTGCACTCCTTCTGTGATCCAATTAAGGTGCTGGACGAACCTCTTCCTGAAATAGACCTCCGAGTCTCTGGTGCGCCGTGAGATTGTTCTTATTCCGTATCAGCAGATAGATTCGCTTAATTGGAAACTTCCTCAGCAGCTTCTCGAGCAGCACTTTGCCGAGGAATCCCGTTCCGCCCGTGATGAAAATCACAGAGTCGCGATAGAAATCCTCAAAGTCACCATCATCGTCTGCGGATGTATCGGGAATGTTTTTGAGCAAATTAAATAATTTAACACACACACAGACACACGGCTGGCCAACCTACCGACGACGCCGGGTCCAACTTGGTCGATATCCTCCACATTCGCCTGCATGATTCCTTTTTTTCTCTCTCTCCTTATATGTGCCGCCGTGGCGAGAGGAACTTTTCTGACAAGGTTAAATGGTGGCTGAGAGTCTATGCAATTTTATTTTGTATTCCAGGTACATTCAGAGCTTTGTGAATTTTTCATAAAGCAATTGTCTATACATCACTCGGGGAGCATGTTTTGCCAGGTCCCGCTGGGAAAAGCCACTCACTGGGTGTATGGTATTCCTTTCACTTCACTTAAGAATGGACCCCCAACCGCCCCATGATTCACACCACAGTCGAGGAGGAGTGCAAACGAAGAAGAAATACTCCAAGACTCTCTCTCTGTGCATCCAATGTAATTTCGCCCAATTTATTTTCACCGACTTTTACTCACAAGCACTCGAGTGTTGCACTCATAGTTATAAAATTTTCAAAAAGCCATCTTCCACCACCTTTGTTTGCTCCGTGTTTTATTTCATTGAAATTTACTGAATTCTTTTCATCGCCACTCCGCGCGCTCGTCGCGAAGGAAAGTCACCAGACACTCCAGCCGGAGCAACTTGAAAACGATCTCAACTCCGCCACACAATGAGAACAAATGCGGACACGGCGACTGCGGGTGGAAAACTATAGTGGCATGAAAGGAACGCATTAACAGGTGTTTATTAAAATTTAAAATTATCTGTGTGTATGCGAGGAGCTGCGGCGAGAAGGGATAGTCGCCGTTCGCCACCGACAACATCAGCCCACATTGGGAGGGTGGAAATTCATCGTCAGGACATGCAGAGAGACGTGAAGGGACGTTGTGGTGTGAAGCAGCTGCTTGAAAATCACACGATTCTCATAAAAAATTAAGATGCAGCAGCGTATTGATATTTTCACACATGTATAAATAACATGTACACCTCCACTATTGATCACCCAACCACCCACCCACCCTTCTTGTTAGACAAAAGGCGAGGAATTTTGAAGTCCCCAGTCGGAATATTTGATCAGCCAACTCATCCGACTGTTTTAACGATTCTATCAAAGCCTGTCATTATAGAGAAATCGATAGCACGACCACTAACCTTTTAAAGCCTTGAGCCAAGGGGAAGATAATATGGCCAACTTCTGTACACCATTTCCTCACACTTCCACAATTTTCATGAGAAATACTTGACACTTCCCAGAACAAATCAAATAATAACTGGAATCTAACCAAAATATAACTAAAATCTAACTAAAATCTAACTAACAATTTAAAAATTCACTTTTTATACAATATTTTGTGATTTTCTTCCACTAAAATTGTAATTTTGCGTATTTTTCTTGATTATAATCCTCTGATTATTTTCTTTTTTATTATTAACACAAAATCGCTACAGTTTAATTAAAAATAATTGAGGTTGTTTTATTTTAAAATTTTTTCCCTTAAAATGTGATTTTCATTGAGTAAAAATACGCAATTCTACCAATAAAGTGAAAATACTTTCTTATTAGGTGCTAAAATCCCTTCTTTAAGTTGTTATTCAGTCTTAAATCAGTCACATAACCTAGAAAAAATCTCATAATTACGACTTGAATAAAAATTATTTCTGAGAGTAATTTAATATACAGAAAATCAAAGTTGTGAGTCAAATATTGCATAAATTGAAACACTTCCTGATCTGTACACCACTTCTGATCATATTATCTCCCCCTTGATCTTGAACAATGTGAATGAAAAGATATCATTTGATTATTTTTTATTTTATTTCTATAGCATTTAGAGCTATTTATGGATTTGTTGGAATTTATTATTTCACACAATTAAATCATTTTGGTGCACAATGAGGAGATTATGAAATTCCATACAAATGTCAATCATTTCCAGAAAATAACTTTTATTTCTCTTATTCAATACAATCTTTTTATAGTTTAACTGAAAAAAAATGTGTTCAATTTCGTGACATTAAAAATAACATTGAAGACTCTTCAGAGCTTTTATTTTGTCGTGAAAATTTCCAAAGTTCACCAACTAGTCTGGATAATTTCAATATTTAAACGCATATTACATTTTGAGAGTTTCTCCACACTTTTTGAAAGCTCCAACACTATAAATATTTAAACAGTCAAATGAAAAACTATTCCATTTAAATTAAGTGCATTTATAAATGAAAATCACATTTTTATTTTGGGCTTGACAATATGGTGTGAAAGTCCTTGTCACGGGGATTCAGTGACTGGCTTTTCCCTCTTTCTCTCGACAGTTGAAAAATGGGGGACAGGCGGAAGGGAACAGTGTGAATAAATAAATGATAACTAGAGACAAGAGTTCAAATTAGGACAATGAACGGATAGAGAGAGTATCTCGGAATGGCTTTCCTTGGGCGTTCGCCCGCTCTAGAGATCAATATCCTCAAATAGGATTCCAGAAGCGACACCGTGTCGTGCCCGCTTGCCCTCCTCACCACTCTCCGGGCCCTCATCGTGGCTCACTGTGGGCGAGGAGAAGGTGAACAGTTCCGTTTCCGAGTTGTTCTGCTTCTTCCGCGGCACCAGCGGCGGCTCATACGCCATGCCGCCGTACTCGCGAATCTTGCTGCCGCAATTTGTGCACTCATCCTGGACATTCCCGGGCGCATAGTTGGCCTTCTGTCGATCACCGAGAATACAATTTTTCACAGCTTTCCATTCCACTGCACCACGATGATGGGCCTTTTTTCCTTCAACATGACAAACAATGAGATTGTTGGGCGTCACCTGACTTTGATTTTGGATCTTTTGTCGTGTGGATGTGTTCGTGTAGTTGGATCGAATGGAACTTACGCGTGTGTACACTGACTTCTCACTGAAGTCACCACTATCGAAGCCCAACCGACACAGAGGACAACGCTTGCTGAACTCCCTCTTGAATTTCTCCTGCGGAAGGCACAACAGATCAATTTCCACACACTCCCGCTTTCACGGCGACATCGTTCACTTACATTGTAAATGCCGTAGATGAAGGGATTGTAGGACGAGTTGCTCATGGCAATCCAATCAGAGCAGAAGAAGATTATGTTGATGTAGCGATAGTCATTGATTCCCGGCCATGTGGCCTGCAGAATGTTGTACAGCTGAAGTGGAAGCCAGCAAATGCCAAAGAGAGCCACAACAATTAGCAGCATCTTGATGACTTTCTTCTTGTTCTTCAGCAACGTGACATCTCTGTCGTTCTGAGCATTTCCCGGTGTCTTCGAGCCCCACAGGCGAACGGCCATTTGGATGTAGATGAAGCTTATCACGCAGAATGGAATCAGATACTGCCAATTAAAGAGGATGAATTTAATGAGACATTCTCAAGACATTCTTTGGGTAGAATTTACCTGCACAAGCACTAGAATATAGCGATATATCCTCATTTGCTCGTCCGTTAAGTTCTCATTATTGCAGAAGGGCTTCGACAGGACAATGATATCGCCTTCACCTGTTGCATCATTGGAGAGAAGCAAGAATTCTGTCGTTATTTATAACACCACGGATAAAGAGTCTTCGCTATGACTTTCTCCAGAGACGCAAACACTTCTCTGAAGTTCTTTATCCTAAAAAGCTGTGCGCATGATCACGATTCACGCACACAGGGTGTTTTATGTGCTTTTAAATTTTTTAAATTCAACAACCCATCATCATTTGGATGATTATCTTGTCTAGACAACATGCTTTGAATAATTCATAGGCCAAATAATTAAATATGAAGCAATTGGAACAATAAATGTGACGATGGAATGTCAATTGTCTCATAAATGGGCAAGTGAAGTGTCAATAGAGAATATTCAAATGATTGACATACAAAAAAAACTCACGTCTGATCAACTCTTTCACATGAATAACTTCCAGAGCATAGCAAATTGGGGCTGCGAGAAGAATTGATACGATCCAAATGCAACCAATGATAAGCCTGCAGATATTTTTGGATTGTCTTGCCCTGAAATGAGGGAAAACTATTAAGAAATATCGATCCTTTTATCACTCACAATATACATATTTATTGATATAGCATCATCTTCTTCTCATTCTTTCCGTTCCACCCTTTTGACCTAATCATTTCTTCGCAACCAGATACCTATTTATCGGATAAAAGACGATGTAAACGCGATAACTTGACCCCAATTCATTCCTTTTCTTCCCCATCATCCTCATTTCAATAAGCTCTCCTTTTCTCTGTGTTTCTCTTCACACGGAGAAATATTTGGGCGATTGCAGGAGTTTAATTGCCTCTGTTTGAAATATTAATGAACTTATGGGCGAATTGATTCCCTCTCGCGAGCAAACTCAATAGGTTATTGGGCAATAAAGTTATCTGGAGCAGTCTTGAAAGACGCTGTGTGTCTGAGGAGAGAGAGAAAAAAAAGTGCTTGCCAAATTTTCTGCACGCCTCAAAACATCTGGGTTGTTGAACCGGTGAAATGGTGATGAAATTTCAAGTGGAATAATGGAAAATCTCGCATTAATTAACAAGGGTGAGAGAATGTACTGTTTGTGTTATGGAAAATTCATTAAAATGGCTAAAAGCGTCAAAACGTATTATATTGCTGGATAGATTGATATTTCTCACATGAGTGACATCATGTTGAGGGTTGATTCTCGGAGCATGTTAGACAAATGCGGGCAGGAAATTTGAGGGGCAATAGAGCTCCACTCGCAGAACAATGAAGATTCAAATGGGAGACACAATCTTCCACCATCCGCAGAATCTGTATGTTAACCCGATTAAATTTTCACCGCTTCCACGCTGTGAATATGATTGATGAGTTGAAAATCCATTTGGTAGATAATTTTGTGATACCATTTCTCAATAGCGCTGAGTGAATTGCTTACCATCAAATTCTCTTTGTCAATCGGATTCACGCGTTAACTGGAAACTTTAAGTCTATTCATGAGGGCTCAAGTTTCTGTACTAATAATCATAATAATAGTAATAATATTGATGAAGTAATTAAAAGCCCAGAAGCTTCTATTGTGAGAAAGTGATATTCACGGTGTTTGCGTGAAATTTAAGACAGAGACGTGAAATGCAATGACAGAAGTGAAAAGTCATCGTTTTTAATCGTGGATTTTTAGGCAAATTTACATCAAGGGGGAGATAATACAGTCAGACATACTTAAGAAGTGGAAGTGTTGAAAAATCTGCAATTTTCCTTTCCTGCGTGCTTCTTTTACTGACTAATGCTTCCAATTCTTTGAATTTCTTTCGATTTTCTTACGGAAATAAACGTAATAATTTTTTTAGGTTATGTAACGAATCAAGGACAGATTCTAGCACATAAATTCTGCTAGTCCTTGGCTTAATTAGGCATTTGCAAGCAATTAAAGTGCTTTTCTTATCCTTTGATGCCAAGAAACACTGCAAATTGTGCTAAAACTCAACATAACCTCAAAAATTGTCATTTGTACTTGGAAAATGTTCACTTAGAAATTCTTCTGAATGATTTTAAGTCTGAATCAGCAATTTTAAGATCATTGGCAAATCATAATAGATGATTTTGTGATCTAGAATGCTTCCAAGCGGAGTTTTTGAAGATTTCTTAGTTGTATTTTTGAGGTTATGGTCAGAAAAGATGTCCAAAAACAGCGGTTTTAAGCGGAAAACTTAATAGATTTTTTATAATGCGTGGAATAATGTGAAAACAGACCAATAATTTCATGTTCCACAAGTATCGAGCAAATTTGTGATGAAGAGATTTTAGACATACTATCTCCCCCTTGATTTGCATTGGAGAAACTTCGAGACCCATTTTAATTTGTTTTCCCCACTAAGACACTGATTTGCATTCTTAGTAAACGCCAAGTCAATGTCCTGTAAAGATATTCAACATTAGAAAGGAAGCCACCGTCCTTTTTTCTGCGGACTTTTTCGCTTTCGATTGAAGGAAGGAAATTATCATTTCATCGCACCAAATCCCGCATTTATTCCCATGAAGGACTCTTTCCTGTCAGGTAGAGCGGAAGGATGAGCGCGGCGATAATAGGAGAGGAAATGAAGCGAGTCAAGAGATAGAATTAGTGGTTAATTGGTTTTGATTAATTAGATCAACAAGTGAAAAAGTGACAAAAGGAGTTGAGCCGGAGAATGTCGGTCCTGCGTGAGTAAACAATGGCTGGCAATTAGCATTGAGGCGGATACGCGAAGGCGAGTTCTCCTCATTGCGTGAAATTCTTCACAACAAAGAAGGTCTATTAAGAGTGTCACGGCATTTCACTTTCCGCCCAATTTGCCTGAACTTTAAGCGGGGATTTACGGGGGTGGGTTTCTTAAATGCTACACGAGACTCACCTCAGTGGATTAAGGATGGCCCTGTGTCGGTCCACGGCGATTGCCGTCAGTGTTAGAACAGACACATTAACGCTAAGGAGCTGAACGAACGGGCAGAAACCGCACATAAATTTCGGCAAATTCCACCGCTGCAGAAGGGCGGCTTGGAACTGGGAAGAAGGAAAAAGAGGAGCAGCGTGAGATGGTTGACATTTGTGGAATTTTGGGGCACAATATTCGCGTGAGAATTGTACCTGAAAGGGAATAGCAAACATCCCGATAATGACATCGGCCAAGGCCAAGTTGGCAATGAAGAGATTCGTCACGGTTTGCATTTGCCGTGTTGTTGCAACAATCCAAATGACCAGACCATTGCCAATCACCGCCAAGATACTTATTGTGCCGTAGAAGATGGACAGCAGCACCACGATGCCCACCGGAACGTCATACAGGAGATCGTCCACGCTGAGCTCCTGCAGATCCGAGTAATTCTGCGTGCCATCGAAGGATTGCCTCAACAGCGTGTTGTTTATCTCAGCGTCAGCCATTTAGCAACTGCAAAGAGATTGCAATTGAACTTAGAACCACATGTTTAGCCATAATTTATTGACTTCCTCACCGCAAAATACACATAAATTTAATGTGAACCACTGTAAATTAAATGGAATTACATTTGCGATTTACGTCATTTAACCATTTTGCGGTGTTTCATTCTGAAATATGATGATTTGATGCATCAAATGCAATTAATACTCAAAATCCCCAGTGAAATATTCAATAGCCATTATTATAAGTGAATTAACAATTGATAAAAAAATATATCAAATTTGCCTTTCCAGCTCAGAGATGCTAATCAACACTAATAAATTTCATCATTTTAAATAAATCAATTAAAATGTTGAAGTACTGCGAGGCTGTTTAAATGAAATTTACACTTCAAATCCAATTAAAAGTTTTGCATTATTCAGCAAAATAATGTGAATTTGACGCGCACAAGAAGGAAAGCTCTGACGATAGCCTTCAAGACGGCTCTCCACAACTAACCCATTTCCCCGGGAAACAGAAGGAAAATCTTCGCGAAAGCAACAAGTAGCAAATGAAGATATTTTTAACTTCAAATGCTCTTTGTACATTTCAAGGAAAATCCTTGGCATACGCCAGAAGTTCCCGGCATACAATGTAATGAAGAGAGTGCTGAACTGCTTGGAAGCAACATGTTTCTCAAGATCTACCAGTGAAAGCTCTAATTTAAATGCAATTTCATTTTGTATGAAAATACATTTCCTCGAAGAACGAATGAACTTCTAACTTTTATGTTCGGTGGCAGCCAAGGGGGAGATAAAATGCGTCACATCTGTACACCTTTTTCTAACACTTCTGCAATTCCTCTGCAGAATCTCTGCAGAAAGGCATCATGTTCCATCGCTTTTTCGACTTCATCAACTGCTGATCTTATTGATTTCTGACTTATCAACAATTAAATACAGGATTTTCCGTCTCAAGAAGTTTAAACTTCTTCAAAAGCTTAGATTTCAGACCGTAAAAAATTATTTTAATGTGCCACGATCTGCTCATGAACAAATTTCATCTTGATTTTCTTTTCAGTCTTCAGAAAATGCTTTTAAAAAATTCTGAACAAATTGTGAGGTTATGAATTTTGCCTAAAAATATTCATTAAACTTAGAAATGAGTAAATGTGACTAAAAATGAGGTTGAATTTGCCACTTTAGAGCACAAACCGCCAAAAAAAAACTAAACAACGAGAATTCTCATTGACATTTTTGAGGTTATGGTTGCCTTTTAAGCTGTTTGTTAACTAATCTGGAGCTTTTCCGATCGCAAATGCTCAATTTGACTAAGAAAAGGGCAAAAATTGTCAGCCTAAACAGAACTTAGGGGAATTTAAGGATTATTTTATCACCAGAATCAGTTTTAAATCAATCACATAACCTAAAAAAGCGCTCAAATTGATTTTTCTATACAAAATAATTTCAAAAATGCCTCAATTTGTTGAAATGGAAGCTTTTCCATGCAAATATTTTATATATTTTGCCACTTTCAAACACTTCTGATCATAATATCTACCCTTTTGTGGCAGCAATATTATTCGTAGTTTGTTAAACCTTTAAAGCAACGGAATTGAATATCACTGAATGCTATCACTTGTTGCATCATAAAAAGTTGTACATGCTTTAGACAACTTGAAAATCAAACTATAAACACTCGGATTAACGTCGCTTTATGGAAGTTCTGCACAATATTCAACAATAAACTGTGGACGATCTGGTGACTGAAATTGGTAGTGAAGAGAGATAAACATGGTAAAATATGGTGAAAACACGGAGGATTATACTTATTTGCTCTTCTGAGCTTGCTCTGATTTAGAGCTTATGCCACAAAACAGACGAGTGAATGAAAATATCAAAGGGATACTTATTTTTCATCCCTCGATATTTTGACTATATATCTTCAAGAAAGACTTCCAGCGATAGATTCGAGATTCTTTCATTACAGATTCTTTGAAATGGATTTTTTTTCACTTTGTTGCTTGCTTAACAAATGACTCACAAATCCTTACTTTGTGTTATTAGCGCAAACTTTGTGCAAATCTCTATACATAAAGGTCTTGCAGTGTAGTAATCCCTAATCAAAACATGGCACAAATGTTGTTTGATGTCTAATCCCAGTGCATAGAAATCACAGAGACACATAAAGCTCGCTTTTGAACCATAACAGGCTCAAGAAACATCAATTCCATTGTGCATTTTCCAGTGAATTTTAATTGTATAACATTATACGCACACGAACCGCAAAATTCATTCAACAAATTATTATCACATGAAATATCAAATATTTACTGGAGCGCTCTGGCTCTCATAATCCGCGCAAGTTTACTTTGTATGTTGCGTAGAACAGTCCAAAATATCTCCTTAATCTGTTTACGAAAAAAAAAAAAAATTAAGCGGCAATCTATTGGATTTTCCGTGTTCGCACAGTGTTAAGGTGGTGGATTGTGAAATTAATTAAAGGAGACCAGCTGATAAGCGTGGCCTTATGTACACAATTGTATGACGCTCATAAAAGATGGAAGGTGGAAGAGAAAAGGAAAGGCATGATAATGAGGCCAAAAGAGTATTGGAAGATGTTAATAAAGTTATAGATTGTAAATCATACTTCTAATTTACTTCTCAATATCGCGCTTTAGAGCGCAATGCCGCCGAAAAAACAAGGATAATGTGCAAAAAATATAGTACAAGGTTGGACAAGAGGTGAAGATGAACATCGTCTTCGTGGCGAATTGAGAATGAAGAAGCTTCACAGTCAATGATTGTATCGAATTTGCTGAAAATTTTGATTTATTAGCTGCTAAAAAGTGGCTTTATTGGAGAGAATCGTAAAATTCTATCATCAGTTCTCACACTGCCGAAAAGTCAGTAATTGAAATATCGTCTTGCTGATACAAAATCTTGTCGGCTCAAACACTTTACATCACTGGAAATGTTCTTTTGATAACTGCGCGATCTCAGCATTTCTCACAGTTGTATTTGTTTAAAATTTTCCACTTTAAAAATAAATTCCTCGCAAATTTACCACTGATTTGCAAAAAAAAAATGGTCTATTAATTATTGCCGAGATAGCATTGAAAGTAAAAGAGGCAATGTGTAATTGTCTGTTCGCACTAAATGTATATTCGGTTTACACAAGATAAACAGTGTCTGTGGCACTCTGAGGTAAACATTATCACTGTGGGTAGAGTGGAAAAAGAGGCTGCGAAGATATTTATTTTAATCCCGAACTCACATGAGAACTGAGCTTAGAGAAAAGGGACTCAATATGAAGGAGTTTCTAATGAATTTAAATTATCTAATTCACACAAGAACCGCTCGTTGCAACTTTACTGATTCCGTATAAAATACTAATTTGGTGTTGCAATGTTTTCATATATTATATCGACGGCCACCCAGCGGCGCTAGTGTGAAGTACGAATGAAATACGAACGAGAAGGCGTTGCAAGGCGAAATTGGGACTTTATTTCATACGAATTTCAGCTGTCAAACGCAACACAGTAGTAAATCCGCGACTGTTACTGACATTTGGCGAGTTTCCGATGGTATTCTTGAAGGAGGAAACTGATTGGACCAATCAGTTTCCTCGGAAAGGATCGAGGGATGTCCGGAAACACATAACCTCAATCTGGTGCATTTAAATGTGCACAAATGGCCAGACGGATCCAAAAAATATGTGATTATTTACATAAAAACAGCATTATTGTCTATTTTCTTGGTTTTCACATGAATTTTCCGGCTCTTTTGCATTTACGCGACGAAAAATATGAATTAGAAACGTTTATAGCTGCGCACAAGATAAATTCACCACATTAGTAAATAATATGAATCGTAATCTTGCAACGCCTTTTAGCAAATTCACATTTATGACAGATCTTATTAAAAATGTTATGAACTTAGAGTTGCAACGAGTATAAAATCAATTTTTTTAATAAATAGCATTTTAGAGAGTATTTTAAACGAAATTAAAATTGAAAGCATCATTCATATTCACCCCACATTCCCCTAAAGAAAAATGAATGCACAAGATCACGGCTACAAAAATTGCGTGATGCTGAAATTATGTTTTGAATAGAAGTCATACAGCGTAGTTGTAAATGAGTTGTAATTTGCTTCTTCACCCTTTCTTCACTCTCTTATATTACGGAGCACAAATAGAAAAAGGAAGAATGTGGTCATAATGAACAATAACGTGTGCTTATTGTCACATTTTCCCTTCTAAAAATACACGCGAGTAAAATTGTTACCGAGCAAAGAATATAGAGGAAATCAGAACATCTTCCTTCATTGACGCATTTCTTTTGAATTTGCATTTTTCTTATCCCTGCGAATTGTAATATATAGAGAAAACCAATTTGACACAAAATAACAGAGAGAGAGAGAGAGAGAGAAAATGTCGCAATTTGATCTCGATGACGCTCTTCCTTCCGCCAAATAGAATATATTTATCTACCATCTGGACCTTGGAAAGCTTATCACATCGGTGACTTTTTCATGATTTCCCGGCACACTCCAGCCAGACGAATTATTTATATCTGTCAATATAGCGCCTCTATTAATAAAACATCACATGGAATGCTGTAGGGCCAATCATATCGCCAACCCACTCGATCGTGTTAAACATATTTATAGAATAATTCCGATACTATTACCGCTGCGTAATCAATTACAGAAAAGTATCACCTCGCCTTTCCACCACCAGGCAATGTGGCAATTTCTCCAGAGCCTCTCCGAAGGAAGTCAATAAGGCAGGATAACAATAGTTGCAATATACGGAAGACATATTAAAACGAGGGTTTTCTCGCAATACAATAGGAAGAAAAATGTTATCAGACAATCCAATTTAACATTGAATGCAAATTCAATTTACGGTAGAGAAAGTTGGGCAAGAGATTTAATGTTAGATGGGGAAAAATATCCCAAAATTTAAAAAAAAAATATCACCGGTAACGGAAATTAATAAGGAATTGTGACCTTTGTTT